TCAGCACCCCCAGGCTCAGCACCCCCAGGCTCACCACCCCCAGACTCCGCACCCCCAGGCTCAGCACCCCCAGGCTCAGCACCCCCAGGCCCAGCACCCCCAGACTCCGCACCCCCAGGCTCAGCACCCCCAGGCTCAGCACCCCCAGGCTCAGCACCCGCAGCAGCACCAGAGTCACCTGTGACCTCGACAAGCTCGACCGCGTCTACCTGGGACAAACCTGAAGGGGCAGGACCCTGAGGGGGGAGGGGGTCTACCGGGGGGGTCCTGGTACCAAGAAGAGCGGGGGCGGGGGAAGGGAAGGAGTGCGGTAGGGGAAGAGGCGGTAGTAGGGTACCGACTCGTCGAACGTGACGTCCTGGGAGGACAGAACACGGCGAGAGGTGGGGTGGTAGAACTGCCACCCAGGGGCGTCGGGGGGGAACCCCAGGAAGACGCAGGGAGAAGCGCGAGGGGACAGCTTGTCCGCAGACAGGTCGCGGACAAGCGCCCGAGATCCCCAGACCCGGAACGCCGACGCATCGCCAACCTTCCCCGTCCACAGTAGGGCTGGGGAGGTCTCCGGCCTGGAGACCCTGGGGTGGAGGTTGATCTGATGCGCTGCGTACCTGACCGCAAACGGCCACAGAAAATGGGGGGCAGCCGCATGCATCATGGACGTACGGGCGACGTCCATGACCATGCCAATGCGGCGCTCAGCAATCCCATTTTGCTGCGGAGAGTCCGGAAGCGTGAAGGACTGGCGGATGCCTCGCGCACGACAGTAGGTACGTAGAAGGGCAGAGGAGAACTCTCCGCCTCTGTCCGAGTGCAGACGCAACACAGGAAAGTCGGAGCCAAAGCTCTGCCTGAGCTGAAGACGAGCAGCGCGGATCCAGTCGATCAGCACCTCAGTGACCTCACCCTTGCTGCGCAAGGGGAAGACTGTGGTGTAACGCGAGTAGTCGTCAACAACGAGTAGGAAGTAGCGCTCCTGACCCTGTCCACGGACGCGGGCTGGGCCCCACACGTCCATGTGAAGCGTCTGCAACGGGGCCTTTGTCGGAGGAAACTGGGAGGAGTGAGGGGCAGCACGCTGGCGCCCCTCGACACAGGGGACACAGGCAGGGCCAGGGCCCTGAGGAAGGGGAGGGAGGGACCGGGGAAGACCAGACACAAGAAGACGGGAGGCCATACCTCTGAGCCGAAGCAGAGAGGGGTGGCCAAGGCGGTGGTGCCAGAGGAGGGTCTCGTGAGACAGACGACGACACGAACAGGGGGCAGACTCAGGGCCAGACCTGGACGCTGCAGCAAACACCTGACCAGACGAAGGGACCCTACCAGACTCAGTACCTGGAGGAGAAGCAGTGGTCAGTGTGTACAGGCTCGACCCCGGCCGACGTGTAAACGTAGCCAGGTGGCGACCTGTGCTAGCCTCCGTGCAGTGTGTCACCCGCTGACGAGCAGGAGTGAACTGGTGGACACCCGCATCCTATAGGTCAGCACCAGTCACCAGGTTCGTCGAGAACGAGGGGAGGTAGAGACCAGACAGGGTGCCAGAGGGGGCCGCCGGACACGGAAGGACCGTGGAGAAGCGAGACAGGACAGGCCCCCCAGAGGGGTCAGCCAGGGACACCGCAACCGGCCGACTCAGTGGCGTGAGAGTGGTGCGGTCCCGAAAGAAGGAGCGAGACGCTCCAGAGTCAAGGGTGAAGGTGTGAGAGGCCGAAGCCGACACAGTACCTGAGAGGGCAGACTCACCAGTACCTGAGAGCACAGACGCACTGGCACCTAGAGCAGCAGCCTCACGAGTTCCTGACGCAGCAGTCTCAATGCCCGGGTCGGGCGGGAAACACCGGTAACAGTCATCCTCATCACTACCAGTCACAACATACATAGCAGAAAGAATAGCATCGAAGTCAAGATCATAAATAGCTACACCAGCCCTAGACAGCTCCCCCCAGCGGGGGATCTCAGCGGCCTCCGGAAACTGCTGACGCCTGGCGTCGGTCAGGCGGCCAAAGCAGCGGCGGGCTGTGTGGGTGCCTCCACACCTCTCCCCCGCACGGTCGCCAGTGCGAAGAACGTAGGGGCAGGGACCAAACGCACCACCACGCTGACGCTGCAAGTACCACTCACGGAGCTGCTGAGGGGCGGGGACGGTGCGAGAGCGCTGCTGCTGCTGTGGCTGCTGCTGCTGCTGCTGCTGCTGCTGCTGCTGCTGCTGCTGGCGCTGACCACCCCCAGAGCTGCTCCGCTGAGACGAGCCACCCCGACCCCCGCCGCCACCGCCACCCCCGCCTCCACCGCCACCCCTGTCTCCACCGCCACCGCCCCCACCGGCACCCTCACCCCCGCCTCCTCCGCTACCTCCTCCGCAGCCATCTCCGCCTCCACCGCCGCCACTAGTACCTCCACTCCCGCCACCACCTCCACCGCCACCCCCACTCCCCCCGCCACCCCCACCTCCCCCGCCACCGCCCCCTCTAGCTCCACCCGCTCCCTTGCCCCCTTTGCCCTTGCCACTGCGGGGTCTACTGCTGGGGGTAGACGCTGCACCGACCGACTCAAAACCAGCGAGGTCGGCCGCAGCGGCAGAGGCGACAGAGGGCAGCAGGGGGGAAGGAGAACACCCCTCAAAAATGGGGGTGCGAGGGTCACCCCGAGAGGCCCCTACAGCGACGATGCTCTTCTCAGCCGCTAGCAGGGACTCTTCAAGGAGGTCGACAGTGAGGGTGGTGGGACAGACAGAGAGAAACTGGTCCCTAACTACACGAAGGGACTCAGGGAGACGAGTGACGAGAAAGTAGAGAGTGATGTACATGGGAGGAGGGTTTGCGGCGCGGAACTCAGCAGGAAGGGCAGCGCGGTAGCGAGCGTCACTAGCGCGGAGGTGGGTAACGAGGTCAGCAACAGTGGGAAAGGCAGCGAGGTCAGGGAAGAGAAACGGTAGCATGAGGCGGCTAAGCGTAGCGGAGGAAGGGGAGGAGTAGCGTGCAACTACAGCGTCGTACAAGGCCTGAGCGGTCTTGCACTGACTGAAGTGGGCACGCTCGGAGGAAGGGAGGTGGCGACGCACAGCAAGACGTGCAGCAGCATCGCGGGTCGCCCACTTGGAGCGAACGGCGGGGTCAGCATCAGCAGGAGGGGCAGGGACAGCTCCAGAGACAAAGTCAAAGAGAGAGACCTCATCTATCGCATCACACAGTAAGTACAGCTGCAGGTCTTCAATCCAGACTGCAAAGTCAACAGCTCTACCCTCAGCGTCAAAAGCTAGGACAGTGGGGGTGGCCATGACAGCAGCTGACAGTCTCACCGGGTAGGAAAAGTCGGGTAGGTCAGCGGCACTGTAACACAGCCCAGGAGCAGCAGTGGCCCCACAGGAGCAGGAGTGCGGCTCCACTGGCGGCTCGGGCGGCTCAGGCGGCTCGGGCGGCTCGGGCGGCTCGGGCGGCTTGGGCGGCTCGCGCGGCTCGGGTGACGCAGGGGCTCAGGGGCGGCGCGGGCGGCTGCAGGAGCGGCTCACGGGCGGCTGCACGGTGGCGCGGCGGGCTGCAGCACGGGCGGCGGGGCCGACGGTGGGCCGTAGCGGGGCTGTAGCGGGGCCGGCGGCGGCCTGTAGCGGGGCTGTAGCGAGGCTGTAGCGGGGCCGACGGCGGGCTGTAGCGGGGCCGGCGGCGGGCTGTAGTGGGGCCGACTGCGGGCTGTAGCGGGGCCGACGGCGGGCTATAGAGGGGGCCGACGGCGGGCTGGAGCGGGGCCTACGGCGGGCCGACGGGGTCTAGGCGGGGCCAACGAGGGGCCGTAGCGGGGCCTAGGCGGGCCGACGGGGCCTAAGCGGGGCCGACGCGGGGCCGTAGCGGGGCCTAAGCGGGGCCGACGAGGCCGAAGCGGGGCCGACAGGGCCTAAGTGGGGCCGACGAGGCCTAAGCGGGGCCGACTAGGGGCCTAAGCGGGGCCGACGAGGGGCCTAAGCGGGGCCGACGAGGGGCCTAAGCGGGGCCGACGAGGGGCCTAAGCGAGAGCACGGCGGTAAGGGCGACACGGAGGGTCGCTAAAAAAAAAAACGCGCGCCTCGGGGCGCGCTTCGGTGGGCCCTAGGAACAGTCCCTAGGAAGGGACCTGCTCTGATTCCATAAGAAAATATGAACGAGAATGGGAATGACTATGGACGAAGTGAGTACAAATAGGAAACCCTAATTTGGGTTGTACCCCTATGGGATACCCCACTATAGCCTACAGAAACAAGTAAGCTATATGTTCTGACACTGTACTTATTAGGTCAAGGGTCGCTGACCTTCGACTTTCGCGTAACCTCCGACGGTTACTTCAACCTCCGAGGGTTAACTCGCTGGTGCTTCGATAGTGTTTTGCTTCGCTTGTGTCTTGGTGTTTCGACACGACAGAGGCGCTTAGGACCGATTGTTTCCAACATAGTGGACCGGTTGGACTCAATTTTGGTACGTACTCAACCCCACCTAAGATTGACATAAGACTGACCTGAGACTCACTTGAAATTCACTTGAGACTGACCTGCAACTGACCTGCTTGTGACTAGCAGCTTAACCCGAGGGCACAGGCTGCTGCAGAGCGTAACAGAAGTGGCGCGAGTGAGTCCAGAGACTCGTTCGAGACTCACCTAGGACTTACCTGAAACCCCCTTGAAATTCACCTGAAAACTGACTTGAAACTGACCTGAAACTGACCTGAGACTGACATGCTTGTGACGCGCAGGTTGCCCCAAAGGCACAGGGTATAGCCGTTTCGTCCTGTAAACAGTGCGCTGGCAACATAGCGGAGAGGGAGGGCATGTCAAAGGGAGGTGATAATGCCTTAGTAGTCAGTGCACCCGCTGCCTGGGGGTAAGCATCTACGCTGGGGGTGAGGGGTGGGGGGAAGGGGAGGGAGGGGGGTAGGAAGGGAAGGGGAGAGTGTGGTGGTGCAAGAGCAGTGTGGCCGGGCCATAAGGGCCAAAAGCGTAAGGGAGGTGGCGGGAGTGAGTGCAGTAGGGTAGGAAGAAGTTAGCGGCGGAGTGACATGTGTGGAGTGGGGGAGAGGGGGGGAGGTTGACGGGGGGTGGAAGACGGAGGGAGCAGGAAACGAGAAAAGGGAGAAATGGCATGGTGGGAAGGGTAGTAGGAGGGCTCGGGCAGGCGGGCGTCACGTGAGCGATCATAAGGACGACCCGGAATCGTGAAGGTTCTTCCAGGCAAGGGGCACGTGGCACGCAGGCTGGCAACAAGTGGGGGTGCAAGAGACGCAGGAGCACAGCTGAGGGGGCAATCGTTACGTCTCCAGCAGCGGTGCAACTGGCGGTGGTGCAACAGCGGGTGCAAGGCGAGGCGCGGTCATCGTCCGGCTGGAGCAGTGATGCCTGCAGTACTACGCACCGCACTCCTTACAAGCTCAGCCATTCCAATCAGCCCACGAGGATTGAATTCGCCAGGAGTGAGCTGCGGGACGGGTCGTGGCAGAGCCTGGTGCCATAGTAGGAAATTGGGGTAAGGAGACTTGGGTGAAGGGAGGGGTGGGAAAAGGAGAAAGGGAAAACGGAAGGGGATGCGGTTCATGGAGGGGGTAAGGGAAGGAGGGGTGGATTAGTGGAAAGGTAGGGGATAAATGTAAGGGGAGAAGGTAACGGAAAGGGAATGGGGTAAGGGAAGGGGATGGGTGTAAGGCGAGGGGGAGGAGGGGAGGGAGAGAGGGCAAGTGTGAAGGCAGGTTCGCGGCGTCGTTTGTGTGTGGGCGATGTTGCACGCCCGAATAGGCCACGTGTGAAAGCAGAGAAGGCGTCACCCGACATTGGAATATCTGTTCGGAATAAGATGGAGTAGCGTTCGTAACTTGAAAAGTGTGACGGTGTTAGATTTTTGTTGATAAGCCTCTAGATGAGGCAAGCCATGAATACTCCCCATCACCATCTGCCATCATCTGAGCTCTAACCGAGGGGATAATCAAGTCCTGAATTATAATATGCTTAATGTCCATCGTAACAACCTTCCGAAACCCCCTTGGCATCAGGATGTTGTAACCCTCATAAAAAGACTTCTCCGAAAACTTTCTTGGTCCTGCGAGCCCCAACGGGCAGCTCAAATAATCCGGCCGCAACTTCAAAATTGCAGATGTATTTTCCAGCCCCAAATCATTCCCTATGTAATCCCGAAAGCCCGCAGCAAGAGGCTGACTCAGCGAAATGTTGATCTCCCGATTCAACTTTTCCGTAACGGTGAAATTCTCGCAGTGCTTCCAGTCGAGGCCATAGTTGGTGGTGTTGACGGCGACAACGTCGATGAGATTGTCGGTTCCCAGCCCGCTGCATGCTCCCGTGACGTCAGCACCTGGCTGACCTGGCGGGTTACATGACACGCCGCCATTGGCCGATGTTTCCTTGCAGACGTCCTTCATCGAAGGCCATAGCTGGATGTGACAATAACGAGGGGGGGAAGGGAAAAGAGAGAGGAGATGGGAGAGATGGGAGAGAGGGAGGGGAGAGAGGAGAGGAGAGAAGGGAGACGAAGGGGGAGGTAAGGAAAATAATACATTAGCTTTTATTGCACACATGATATGGAGGGGGGGTCAACGGGTGGAGGAGCAGTGATCACTTGGTAAGTTTGACCACATGTGACTTCACACTCTCTCACTGCTGAACATCTGCTCCTTTACTCTCACACACCCAGTTGATACGGTTGCTGTGTGTGAGGAACGAGGCTTAACGCCACCACAGGGGCACCATATGCACAGCCACTGGCACAGATATTCATAGGGATGCCTCCCAGTAGTAACAGCTCTCTTCACGTACTCGGTTGATATGGGTGCTGTGTAGTATTTCACTTGCATTGCATCCCAGTAGTCCCTTTCGGTACTTTTGAGGCGTCTCACATGTTGGATGCGAAGCTATGACATGTGCTCTTTGCTCACTTCTTGCTCTGCTCTCACTCACGTGGTTGATGCGGGCGCTGTTGTAGTATTTCACGCGCATGGCCTCCCAGTAGTTGCCGGGGTCTTTGAGGCAGTTGTTGACGGTCACTGTGAAGCATGACGTCCACCCCAGCGATCTCCGCGTGCCTTTCATCGCCACGTTCTTTATCACGTTCCTGCAGTCAAGATGGGGGAGGAAGGGGTGGACAGCAATACAGGGCAGTACGACATCCGGAGTTGTTGTGCAAAGGGAACTGCTGAGGCAAACGAAAAGGGGGCCCTAAAGGGCGCAACTGAACATATGATTGCACACCACTGGATCTCCACAGTCCCTCCTCACCGCTTGCCGTTATTCACTTTCATGCCGTCATACGTATTCACGCACGCGCCTCCCCTGACAAGCACGCCTGACGTGCAATGGTCCAGATAGTAGCAGTGGTCGCCGTTGAACACGTAGTTGCACAGCGCCGAGTTCCCGGGACTGAACCAGTGCGTGTAGAAGTAGATCCCAGCCGAGTCGTGATCCCCGTTCAGGTTCCTCCCAGAGGAAACCACAAGGTTGGAGTTGATGCGAGAGAGCATGCACGCAAAGCTGTAATGCACGTCGGCACCGCACTTGATCCCTGCGAATATGAAGTCGCGCACGTAGTTGTTCCTGACGGTTACACCAACTGCTCTCCTGTGCAAGAGGATCGGAGTGTTCACCCCTGCAGTCAAGGGAAAGAAGGGGGGAAGAGTATAGAAAAGGAGAGTTCAACCACCAGGACAGTGGTAAATCCTTGCCGAGACTTGATCCCCGTTGTTAGAATAAACAAGGCTGGAGTTGATGCGAGTGAGCATGCAGTCACCGCTGCAATGCACATTGGCGCTGCAGCGCTGCAGTGAATCCCAACGATAACGTAGTTGTGAATGTACTTGTTGGTCATAGTGATGCCTAACGCCGCTCCCCTGTGCAAGACAGTCAGAGTGTTCACCCCTGCAGGCAACGGAAAGAGAGCGAAAGAGGGCGAAACGAGAAGAGGGGGCAAATGGGGGGATTTGACATAAGGAGAGGGGGGAGGGGATGGGTGCGGAGGGGAAATGACGAGATCAATTGGAGATGATGCGAGTAAGCATGCATTCGTTGCTGTCATACATAACAATGGTCATGGATGTAGATGCTGGTGACTGCTATGCCCTCTGCTCCCCTGTGCAGCACAACGGGGGTGTTCACCCCTTCAAGCAAGGAAAGAGGGGGGAGTGGATTAAGGGAAAGAGCGGGAAAGAGCATGGTGATGAGAAGATGTAGCCATGGATGTTGTTGTTTGTTATTACTGTGCCCACTGCTCCTCTGTGCAAGACCATGGGGCAGGAGGGCAGGGGGAGAGTGAGGATAAGGGGGCAATGGGGAGAGAGAGGTTAAGGGGGCAGGGGGAACAGTGAGGACCATTCACTGACCTTCAATCTCATTGACTCTGGTTGACTCCCGTTGACTCTGGGAAGCATCCCACTCACTCACTGTACACCTCATTGTTGGAGATGACAACGTTGGATTTGAGAAGTCCCGGCTCGTACCCACACAGGGCCACTCGGATCACCCCAGGCGACTTGATAAAGGAAGCCACTCCGGTGACCGAGAGTGAGTCCAGGCGCACGTCCATGCTGTGTAGCACGTCCACTCGCCCAAAGATGTTGCCCTGGGGGGGAGAGAGGAAGACGGGATAGGGGGTAGCTTGGAGGCACGCGGGAGCTTGAGACGATGTGTGGGATGAGAAAAAGAGAGAGAAACCACTCCAGTGAGCGTTAGTGAGTCCAGCCGCACGCGGCATGGCCATGCTCCATTGCACGCCCACTGGGCCAAAGACGGTGCTGTGAGGGGAAGGGAAGGAGAGGGAATGGGGATGAGAGTGGAGGCACGTGGACAGATGAGGAGCTGGAAGACATGTGGGTGTGGGTGTGGGATGAGACGAGTTTATGGTGCTCCATCATCTCACCACCACGTCCACTGGAAGTATCCAGACAAGAGAACTTGCGAAAGGAGCGTGACATGCGAAAGGAGCCCAACAAGCAGATGGAATGGAGGGACTCACCTTGTCAATCTGCACGCCGTATGATCGATGGATCAAGACTGCGTCGCGGGGCACGCCACTCCTTGCCTGGCTCTGCCACTCCTTGCCTGGCTCTGCCACTCCTTGCCCAGCTCTGCCAGTCCCTGTCCAGCTCTGCCACTCCCTTGCCAAGCTCTGCCACTCCTTGCCCAGCTCTGCCACTCCGTTGCCCAGCTCTGCCACTCCTTGCCCAGCTCTGCCACTCCCTTGCCCAGCTCTGTCACTCCTTGCCCAGCTCTGCCACTCCCTTGCCCAGCTCTGCCATTCCTTGCCCAGCTCTGCCACTCCTTGCCCAGCTCTGCCACTCCCTTGCCCAGCTCTGCCACTCCCTTGCCCAGCTCTGCCACTCCCTTGCCCAGCTCTGCCACTCCCTTGCCCAGCTCTGCCACTCCTTGCCCAGCTCTGCCACTCCCTTGCCCAGCTCTGCCACTCCTTGCCCAGCTCCGCCACTCCTTGCCCGGCTCTGCCACTCCTTGCCCAGCTCTGCCACTCCCTTGATCAGCTCTGCCACTCCCTTGCCCAGCTCTGCCACTCCTTGCCCAGCTCTGCCACTCCCTTGCCCAGCTCTGCCACTCCTTGCCCAGCTCTGCCACTCCCTTGCCCAGCTTTGCCACTCCCTTGCCCAGCTCTGCCACTCCTTGCCCAGCTCTGCCACTCCCTTGCCCAGCTCTGCCACTCCCTTGCCCAGCTCTGCCACTCCCTTGCCCAGCTCTGCCACTCCCTTGCCCAGCTCTGCCACTCCCTTGCCCAGCTCTGCCACTCCCTTGCCCAGCTCTGCCACTCCCTTGCCCAGCTCTGCCACTCCCTTGCCCAGCTCTGCCACTCCTTGCCCAGTTAGTGGTGCTCTCTGTCACCGGCACGTGATATTTCATGTTCAGCGACACTCAACTCACCGCACGCAAGCATTCAAAGTTCGGGGTGGTCGACTCTGGAATGCTCTCTACAGCGAAAGACAAGGGAGGGTGAAAAGAAGGAAAAAAGGGAGGGACTGACCTTGCCAATCTGCACGCCGAAGGACCGATGGATGGAGATGGCGGGGCAGGTCACGCCTTTGCCCAGCTCTGGCACGATGGTGCACTCGGGGCTGCTCTCCGTCACCGGCAGGCGATAGTTCACGTTCAGCGACATGAAGTTACTAGTGTTCCACACGCGCAGCACCGGATACATATGGTTACCACCCGTCACCGTGTAACCAGGCCATTTCGCTGACATGAGTATCGTGCACGACTGCTGCCGCCCGAAAATAACCCCTTTTGGCAGCATCAAATCTTTCTGTAAATGCAGAATAACGGTGGCGGTGCACGGGAGAGAGGCCCTGGCGGCGAAATCAGCAGCAGACTTGACTCTGACTATGAAGACTCTCTTGAACCACATGCTGCAGGGGCCTTTCGGGCGCTTCTGAGACAGCTGGTACCCTGCGGTTACAGCGGCCCGTTGCAGGGAGACTGGCCCGATGATCACCGTTCGCTGCCTCCTCCTCCTCCCCTGGGCTTGCAGTCTGGCTGCTCCGGTTGTAGCAGCAGCAGCAGGTGTGTAACCAGCTGTAGCAGCTTCTGTAGCAGCATTTGTAGCAGCAGCAGCAGCAGTTGTCCGTCTGAGAGGGACGTCGAGGACAAAGGATTCGCCTGACGCAGCAGCGGCAGCCACAGCAGTGAAGAGCGGCGGGGGCTGGCTGTCCCCCTCACGCTGCTGCCGCACCGGCTCAACCCGACGCAGCATGTCACGTTCGTTGTGACTGTATCCGTGGTTGGGAGTGTACTGGATGTGACTGTATTGAGACAGAGCTTGGCTGAGAGAATTGCCGTGTGGGCTGGTTGTGTGATAATGATGGTGGTGACCAATGCTTGATGTGTGGTGCCCCATTGATGCTGAGTGTTGCTCTGTGACTGCAGCGGGGAAGGAGGAGGATGAGGGGGAGGGGGGAGTGTGTAAGTTGGTTTAGAAAGGCGTTCTCTTTGTACAGCTAGAGCAGCCTATGATTGGTTTGTGTATAAACAGGAGGAGTAGGGATGTATGCATGCATATTGTGCCTGGAAAGGGGCATTAACGTGATGGCAGCTCCTTGCACAAAGGTTGTTGGCTGGGCTGGGTGGCCTGCTGCTGCACTGCAGCACTCTACGGTACCATGGTGGATTGACTCGGATTGGCTGTGGCTACCATGTACAGATTGAAGGGCGTGTGGAGGTGAGGCAACGGGATTGGAGCACAGAGGGTGGCTGGGCAAGGCCTTCCCTGCACTGTAAACAGCCCAACGTGTTTGAACCTGTGCCTTGTCACACTCAAATATCTTTTGAGAGCAGCTCAGGGAAGATAGAACAGTTTCATGCAGAGGGGATGCCATGCCTACCTGCCTGGCTGGCTTTCGCTCCGATTTATTCAATAATTGAAAATACTCTTCCCTCCCTTGCTTGGAACGGAGACAAGCTTGGAAATGAAATACGCCCACTGCCTTGGCTTTGAAAGGAAATAAGCCCACTGCCTTGGCTTGGAAAGGAAATGAGCCCACTGCCTTGGCTTGGAAAGGAAATAAGCCCACTGCCTTGGCTTGGACAGGAAATAAGCCCACTGCCTTGGCTTGGAAAGGAAATAAGCCCACTGCCTTGGCTTGGAAAGGAAATAAGCCCACTGCCTTGGCTTTTCTAACTAGATAAGCACGCATTGCTCTTCCTGACACCTGGCCTCCTCTGCTCCTACTCCTGGCCTCCCCTTGTTCTGCTGCCGAAAGAATTGAAGGTAAATGCATCAAGCATCAACTCTCACGGCTTCATTTAAAGATGAGTTGAATCAATGTCTCCATCTTGTCATCTGGTCTCTTCCTACTTCTCCGTACTCGCCCTGCGCCTTTCCTCACACCCATGCGCTTGATTTTGCTTCAGTGCGAATTCTTCACCCTCCCTCTTTCTCGTCTCCATGTGCGTTCATCTCCATGTGCGTTTCTCTTCTCTCCGAGCACACTTAACAGAACCCTACTCTCTATTCGTCAGCTGCTTTGGCAGTTGAACACAGGGATCAGTCAGGGCTGTTCGAGAGGAGTGGATGGATGATATGGCTGCTGAGAGAGCGATCGGTGCAGCAGTGAATGAGTTGATCAAAGAGGCGGTGCTGGCATGGCAGCAGTGAGAGAGGAGCTGGCTGCACTAAGGGGGAGGTGGATGAGCTGCGACACATGCTGACTGCTGTGGAGGAGAGGAACGAGGCAACTTATGTGGTGGAGGAAAGGGACAGACAGTTCGCAGTAGTGAAGGGGGAGTTGGAAGTGGTGAAAGGGGAGTTGGAAGTGGTGAAAGGGGAGTTGGAAGTGGTGAAAGGGGAGTTGGCTGTGGTGAAAGGAGAGTTGGCGAAATACAAGCAGAAAATAGCTGAGAGCAGTAGGGCGTCAGATGTAGGAGGCCTGAGAGGGAGAATTAGAAAGAGACGGCAAGAATTGACATCGGAGTGTGCACGGGAGGAGGAGTGGAGGAGGGAGGTGCAGGAGTTGAGTCAGCCACGTGCCATGGAGGAACTGGCGGCTTGTGAGGAACGGCAGATGATACAAGACCTGAAGTTGATTATCGAGTTGGAAATCAGCTGGAGTAAAGGCGACCGGGAGGCTGCATGGCAGGTTAGGGCATGCGTTGCTTGCTAGTTCTCCTTATCGCTGTGGTCACCCATCCCCTTGTCATGTTCTTCCCGCCCATTTCATCCAGGCAATCAAGTCAGCATCACACAGGTCATCTATGAACCTCAAGAATCTCTGTGGCCTCTCAGACGATATGCTCGGCCATGTGTCCACAATGTCGCATCTGACGAGAATTGACTTGCAGTCTAGCTCAGGCTTCAGTGCAGAGGGCATCAAGCACCTGTACAGGCTGCCATGGCTGGAGATGCTAAACCTCCAACACGCAGACATCTCAGACAGTGCCTTGGAAGGCATTGGGTTCTTGAGCAATCTCACGACGCTCCTTCTCTGGGGGACCAAGGTGACCGATGCTGGTCTGGCACACTTGACAGGTCTGCTCTCTCTCAAAGTGTTTAGCCTTGGTGAATGCAAGGGTGTGACAGATGCCGGCATGGTGCATGTGGGGAGGCTGACCAGGCTTGAATAACTTTGGCTGAATGGAACAGCAGTCATGGATGATGGGCTGCAGCTGCTGACTGCCCTGACCAAGCTGACAACTCTCTTTCCGCCAGAAGGGGGTACGATTATGAAAGCTGCTGTACGCAGGCGGATAGGCAGGTAGGGTGGCAGGGAGTGATGTTGGAAAGGGAGGTGAGGTGAGGGAGGAGTTGCCTGAGACTGTCTAGGGGAGACTGAGGAGAGGCGTGGAGGGAAGGGGTGTTAAGAGTGAGGGGAGGCATGTATGCGTAGGAGTGAGGCATGCAATGGTGGTTATGCACGACTCAACTTGCATGCTGCAGAGCGTTGGAGAATGCTCAACTGGCTCGTGCCTTGCAGGTGGACAGAAGAAGGTGCAAGGCTGGCTGGGCAACAGACCACTGTCTGCTTGAGGGGAGCTGCATAGGAATTTCCTGGCTTTCTTTGTTTATGATGGGAGGAGGAAACGCTCATCAGCAGGGCTGACGGGGAATGCGAGGCGGAGCAAAAGGGGAAGGGGAGGGGAGGGGGGGAAGCTGGGGACAAGGGCGGGAAAGGGAGAAGTGAGGGAGGTGAGTATGGTGGGTGGCAACAGAAGTGGTGGTTGCAGTGGTAGCAGCAGCAGTGGTGGCAGCAGCGGTGGCAGCAGTGGCAGCAGCAGTGACAGCAGCAGGGGCAGCAGCAAGGGCAGCAGCAGTGGCACGCAGCAGCAGTGACAGTCGCAGGGGCAGCAGCAGGGGCAGCAGCAGTGGCACGCAGCAGCAGTGACAGCAGCAGGGGCAGCAGCAGGGGCAGCAGCAGTGGCACGCAGCAGCAGCAACGACGGGCACGTGCAGGGGTGAGTATGTCTTGCGTGGTTGCATGAGGGGAGCTGCATATGAATTGCTGGCTGTGTGGGTGCAGGGTGTACACATATCTTCTCAGAGGAGAGGGTAATGTTTGTAAAATCTGCAAGGAGCTGATGGAGCTGAGGGTGTGATGGAGCTGTAAGGCATTGCACCTTACGGTGTGATGGAGCTGTAAGGCATTGCACCTTACGGTGTGATGGAGCTGTAAGGCATTGCACCTTACGGTGTGATGGAGCTGTAAGGCATTGCACCTTACGGTGTGATGGAGCTGTAAGGCATTGCACCTTACGGTGTGATGGAGCTGTAAGGCATTGCACCTTACGGTGTGATGGAGCTGTAAGGCATTGCACCTTACGGTGTGATGGAGCTGTAAGGCATTGCACCTTACGGTGTGATGGAGCTGTAAGGCATTGCACCTTACGGTGTGATGGAGCTGTAAGGCATTGCACCTTACGGTGTGATGGAGCTGTAAGGCATTGCACCTTACGGTGTGATGGAGCTGTAAGGCATTGCACCTTACGGTGTGATGGAGCTGTAAGGCATTGCACCTTATGGTGTGATGGAGCTGTAAGGCATTGCACCTTACGGTGTGATGGAGCTGTAAGGCATTGCACCTTACGGTGTGATGGAGCTGTAAGGCATTGCACCTTACGGTGTGATGGAGCTGTAAGGCATTGCACCTTAGTCCAATCTGCTCCAATAATACCCATCGGGCAATGTTGAGATGGCGAATATTGGGTCTGAGAGCCTGGACCTAGATGGCACGAGGGTCATGGAATATCGTGAGAACTGAGGTCCCTACTGTTGCCGCGAGGCAGCTAAGAGATGGGGAGTGGGTGGAAGAGAGTATGCTGATGATGGTGCTGTATTGGAGATCATGAGATTGTACTGAAGAAAGTTCTGTAGACAAGTGGGCTTCTTGATGAGGCTTGCCTAAGCAGATTGTAGAATGAACTTGTGCTTTGACCTACGGTAAGATTGCAGCGCTGTATGAAACATCTCAGGCACACAGGTGACATTGAGCTTGGATCGTACTGAAGCTTGTAGTATATGCACCACTGTTTTTGTTGTCCAATTTGAAACGGTCCAAATTTATTCACCACAATGCATGGCTGATATACCGTAATCACGATTGCATATGCATGAAAAGTTCCACCACAATCATTCGTATAAAACTATAGGCATGCATGCAACAGCTTGCCAGGGGACTTTTTTATGGCTACGCTGGGTTGCATGGTATGATCCATGGATAAGACGGAGGGCAGATGTGAAGAAGACGTGGGACTGTGCCTGCATGAAAAAAAATAGAAGCTACACTTGCTGCTCCATCACCCACCCATACGGCCCATTCACGGGCATGCAGGAGGCAGGTAGGAGATAAATAATCTCTTACAATGATACTGCCACACTAACAGCTCCACTCACACCTGAGATGCAAAATGATCTGCTGCACTGTCCCTGCATTGATGCATGTGCAAGTCAATGCAGCTGCAGCGACCCAGTTGGTTAGGCGGTGGTAGTCAAGTTTCCGTTCTACTGTAAGTGAACAACTCCGTTCCGTGGATCACCAGCTGGTGATTCGAGGCATGTGTAAGTTGAAGCAGTTGTCGAGCTGATATGAGAAGGAAGATGGAGGGAGGGCGCGCAGAACGGGAGGAGGGGAGGAGAATGGGTGCGAAATGGGGAGTGGAGTGAAGGTCAGACAGAAGTGTGTGCTGTTGGGGAGGGAGGGGGGGAGGGGGGGGAAGCGGGAGGGGGAAGGGGAAGGGGATTGTGACATCAAAGGTAAGGGTGATAACTGTCACCAAATATAGTGATAAAGAACAATATATTCGGTTATACACTAGAGTTGGTGTAGCAGGGTGTAGGTTGTGGTTATGCAACCTTACGGAGGGGTTGTTGGGCTTCAAGGAATGATGCGAAGTGGTAGCATGGGGAATTGGGACATTGGGAAGAGGAGTAACAAGCGCCTCGAGGAGCAGGAAATCTGCAGCGACCAGTAAGGCATAAGGCGACCCGAACCCAGCCCAAGGCCATGGTAATGGGCGTGACTGTGGGTAGGAAATAAAGTAGCCTAGCCTAGCCACTAGAACCTGTTCTCTCGTTTTGTTTGCCTACTACAGTGGATTCATTTCACCGTTCTAAGGCTACCGCAGCTAGGTGATACGCCACTGAGGGCAGCCAGCTTGTGGGAGCAGGAGCCTCTCTGGTAGTGGCTGAGGCAGAAGCAGGCAGAGTCTGCAGACAAGCAGGGAAGTATATGAAGAAGAAGGGTAAGAGGTCCAGGGAAGAAGCAGCCAAGGGATGAAGAGAGGAAGAGGAGATCTCCGACATAACAGCTTGCCGTGAAGAAGCCAGAGCCGCCGCAGCTGGACGAGAATTGTGTCGTATGTTACATGCAAGCGTGTGTGCATGTATGTTGGGTGTATGTGCGGGAGAAGAAGTTGGACCAGGAGCAGACAGGAGCCACGGACAGCCTGGAGAGCTGCTTTCTGTGGCAGGCCACTAGTTGTGAAATACATTTTTCGTGTTGTTTCTACCGCGCGCATGTCGACATAATTCTCGTCCATCAAAAGTGAGGGTGATAAGAGGGGAGCGATGACAGCTGGTAGAGAAGGCCGACACTGCCTATCAAATCAATGCTCCCTCACATCCATATGAAATGGCCCCATATTTTCCGTTTCAGCACATGACTCACAAACCCCACTCACATTATCTTCAAGGCTCTCTCTGCTG